TTGCCCTCGGTCTCTTCAGAGGAGGAGGAACAGGACAGCAGAGCAGGAGGGAGGGACCTGGGCCCTGGCCCTAAGGTGCAGCCCTCACAGCTGGCCGGGGCAGGAGGTGCCCACCAGGTGACCGTGCCGCTTTGGTGGCCGGTGGGTGGGGCTGTTTGTTTCCGGGCGGCACAGGCCGGGGGTGGCTTTATGGTGCCATCTGGGAGACATGGCTCGGGCGGGCCAGGCTGGGGAAAGGGGCACTGGGTACAGTGAGGCGCTGCCCCCCAGCTGTTGCTTGGCCCCAGGGGGCAAGGGCCTTTGGCGAGCCCAGGTCCGGCAGTCTGACAGTGACCCCTGCAGCAGGAGACGGGTGAGGACACCGAGGCCCAGCAGACGGCGAGCTGCCCGGGCTCCCGGGATCCCAGCCCAGGCGCAGTGACAGCGGGGCCCATGTCCCTACCTCCTCTCGGCACTGCACTGCTGGCACTGGGGACCAAGGGCAGGCCTGGAACTCAGAGGACCCGACCCAGGCACCTGAAGCCTGTGGCAAGGCCTTCAGCCTTCCGAACTTTTCTGCTTGTGTGCACAGCCCACCCAGCCTCCGTGACCGTGCTGCGGGGTTACAAATGCCTCTGGGGTACAGGGGAGCAGCTCTGAGGATAAACATCAGCCTTGGGCCTGCATGTGGCAGTGTGGGAGGCTCAGCGGGTTGTCATGGAGTCTGTGATGAACCACTGTGCTCACTGCGCCGCAGGAGGGAGCCCCGACTTGAGGGCAGGACCCTGTCCCCGAGGGTGCGGCAAGTTCCCCTTCTGTGCCTCAGGGCACCAGCGGAGGCTCCTGGAGTCTGGACCTGTCTCCCTGAGAGGGCACCAGGCCTCGGTGGCTGTGCTAAATCCACGCAAACCTGGGTGGTGGGGCTGCTCCACCTCGCCCGCCCGCCCTGTCTATCTTCTCAGCACCTCTGCAGGGCACCCTGAAGTCATCCTGTCTTAGGGTGGGGGCGAGGCCCGTCTCTGGACCCCTCAGAACGGCAGCACAGAGTGAGCGGGACCAAGCCGGTCCACTGAGTCCACCACTCTGGGCCGTGCCACCCCTCAAATCAGCTTCCCAGAGAATCTGTCGCTGCCAGATGGGGTGGTCAGGCGAGGCCCCCCATACCGCTCCACGTGCCACTCTGCGCTCCGGGACATGGAGCACGGCAGGGACACATGGGGTCTGGGCGAGGGAAGAGGGCCCGCGGTGGAAGGAGGGGACAGCGAGAGCACAGCACGGGGCAGGCCCAGGGAAGACGGGCGGGCTGCCTCCATGAGGTGCGTCCACGCAGACAGAAGGGCAGGGAAACAGGCAGGCTGGACGGAGCTGCTGGAGGAGTCGGGCAGCTACTTCTCCAGGGTGAAGTTTGCAGGTCAGTCCAAGTTTTGCTGCTGAACGTAAGGGCGCCCCAACAACACAGCCCGGATTTTCCCCTGGCTTTCCTCGTGAAAAGAGCAAACGGGCCTCCCAACCGCCGTGATCGTGTGTGGCTCTCACCCGCGGAATGGGAAGGACAGCAGCATTTAGGGCTGGGAGGGCAAGTCCGGCTCCGGGCCTGGGCCCGACTGCGGGGCATGGGACCGCCCCAGAGAGCTCTGCAGGCTCTGCCCCGTGACTTCCTACTCCACGTACTGAGGAAGGCAGCGCTCCCCTCAGCAGGTTATGAGGAGAAAGCAGCTCGGTGCCCTGGCCTCCATCCCTGGCTCTGGCACAGACACGGTTCCTGTGCCACCTGGATGCAGACGTGTCGGCCCCGGACCCCACCCTCGGAAGCGGTAAACCACAGTGGCCGAACCAGTTCCCAGGCGCAGGTTCCTGGGCTGTCACTCACAAGGCAGGCTCGGCTGTGACCCTTCTCCAGGAGCTCCTGCCCCGTCAGGTGGCAGAGCCGGGCCGGGCAGTATCGGCCTCCAGGACCAGGCCAGGCCGGCATGGATCAAGCTAGTGTGCCCAGCTGAGCAGCCTCCGCCCTCCCAGCCTGTACAAAAGGAAACCGGTCCAGGCCCCTTCCAGGACGGCCCTGTCGTCCCAGCGTCCAGACTCCCCCGGGAAGTTGGCTGGGATGAGCGATGTGGTTGGGGAGACCCTGGCAGGCTGCCTCCCAAACGCACTTCCCCACCTCCATCCTGGGGACCCAGGTCACAGCCAGCAGGCCATGACCAATAAAGGTCCCACATACTGGGTAGTCACTGTTTTCCACAAACAATGCTGAACGTTCCTATGGCACCTCTATAGGACCCGATGAACCCCACAGCCACTAGAGCCTAGAGCAGACAGCCTGGATTCAGACCCACGCTCGGCTACCTGGGGGCCAAGAGCAGAGGCAACACTTGCCGGGAGCCCTGCCCATCTGTCCTTTCCAGATGCGCCCAGGGCCACGTGGCGCCCTCTGCTGGCACCAGGAGCACACTGCCCAGCTGAGATGGCCACCCGGGCAGCCCGGCCCTGCCGAGGACACCCACTGCTCAGCCACCATCCCGCCCTGGCTGGACGGCGGTTCCACTGCCCTGACTGGGGTAGGGAAGAGCTGGGGCAATTGGGGTCTCCAGCACCTCAACCTGGGCTTGGTGCAGTGAGCATGGCCCGACGGGGTCTCCGCTACGTTCCTTTCTGGGCCAGCCTGACTCCCTGGGAAGGTGGCAGCCTGCTCCTTCAGTCTCGCCCACCATAGGTGATAGAAATTCATCTAGCTAGTAGATTCCAGGGCTCAGGCTGAAACCTCAGGAGTGGCTGCCTCCCCTCACACTCTGGGAACTAATCCCTGCTTTTGCCCTTGCCCCCTGCAGCTCATTTTCAACCTGTCCTGGGAACCTATAAGGTGCGCTGCCGGTTTGTGGCTCCCGTGGCTCACGACCTTCCAGGGGTTTCCATCGCCCCCTCCCCAGGGCCTTTGCACTTGCTCCTCTCCTAGCCGGGAGTGTTCCTCCCCTGATCCTGACAGACCTCCCCGACGTCCTGTGTGAAGTACCAATCCTCGCTCCCTCCGCTCGCCTGTCCTTTGCTCTCCGCAGCACGACAACCTCCTGGCCTATCACCGCCATGTCTGAATGCTGCTCCACGAGGGCAGGGCTTCTCTCCTCAAACCCTGCTCTGTCTCTGGCAACAGAAAGCATGCAAATGATGGTCAATAACAAGTATGAACCGCGAAGGTTCCCAGGCAGTGGCGCCCAGGCTGGGGCCTCCCCGGCCCCGGCCTCCAGCACACCGCCCTCCCCTTCCCGCAGCGTCTCCCGTGCCTGTGTGCCCCTCAGAGGTGCCTCCGGGTGCTCCAAGCTCAGGTCCCTTACCCGTCTGCTCCAGGACCCACCCTCTCTCCACTCTCATGGGTCTTCTGAACCTTAATGGTGGCCGCCTCGGTGGCTGCAGATGAAGTGAGGTCACTCACTCACACCAGTGGTGGTAACCACAGTGGACACTGACGTTTGCCGTGTCACAGACGTTCAGAGATCACAGCCTGGATGAGTCACAGCCGTACTGTGGCCGTCACTGCTCCAGATGGTGCCGGCTCTTCCAATGCAGCCGCCCCTCAGTGCGCTGTCCTCACTGACCAGGGCTCCCACTGACCCGCAAGACCCAAGTCAGAACCTACATATTAACATTCAAGTTGAGTCAGAACTGCCAACAGCAGCGTCTCAGAACTGAGGGCTACAGAGGACCCCTCACCGCTGCTGCTCCCTCCCATCTTCCAAAGTGGGGGCAGCCACCACTCTCTGAGCAGTGGCCAGGGCTGGGCCCTGGGAGTGTGGGGAAGCCGCTGGGTCACAGCAGGCGGCGAGGGAGGGGCCTTCTCAGGATCGGGCGGGGCGGCACCTGCTGTTCCACCAGGAGGGCTGGGCCCCGACCCCTGCAGCTGCCCCTTCCCACCCCCAGATCAGCTGAGTGCCCCCCGCCCTGTCACCTAGCCCCCGTGGGAATGGCTCAGGTCAGCGGCTACCACCAAACTTGCTCCCTTCACTCAGGGCCCAGTGAGTACTCGACAGGTTACAGCCCCAAAGACAAACAGATTTTGCCAAGCAAATAACTGTTCAGCAGGTGTCTGGGATGGTCTGGGAGTGGGTGGGCGCTGCCAAACCCCACAGGGGTGGGGTGGGACCTCTCCCGCCGAGAACAAACAGCTGCGGGGCCTGGAAGGAAGCAGACTGCAGATGCCCCGTCATGGGTCTAGGATGCCCGGGGCTCTCAGGGCATCTCCCAGCCCCTTCACCCTGGGCGGCACAGGTTGCTGTACTTCGACCAGGCCTTTGTGTGGCCAGGACCCCACCCCACCACTCCCACACTAGCCCACAGTTCTGAAAGGGAGGAGGGAGGCCCGATCCAGGGGTGCAGAGAGGAACCCACAGGTCCCAGCCTGCCTCAGCCACCGATCCTCCCCTCTGGCTTCGCCTACAACACACAGGGTGGTGATGCAGAGCTCTGAGCTCCGAAAACCGCTAAGATTTGGAGAGGCCGGCAGACCCGCCTGCTTCCTGCCCCCAGCGAGGTCGTCAGCCCTTTTGCCGACACACGAGGGTTTCTGGATTACTTTCCTCAGCTACCCAGGCCACCATAAACCAGGAGGGCTCACAGTTAACTGTCCAGACACCCTAGGAGCCACTGAAAGGCGCTCTCTTCTAAACCTCAGAGGCCGCGGTCCAGCCGGGAGAGGGCTCCCCAGGGCCAGTGTGCCTGCTTCCCCAGGAGGAAGGATGCCCAGGGTGCTCTGCTTTCTCCCATGTGCCCGTGTTGCTTGCTGGGTGAGCAACAGCAACGCAGCCACTCCTTCTATGTGCGGGGTGATCAACGGGCACAGCACCCCTGACTTAGGCACTGGGCCCTGGGAGGGAAACCAGATGCAACTGCAACCCCAGGACTCACTTCCCAAAATGTAATGGACGCATGGTCTGTCCTCCCACTGTGCACATCACAGAGCCACTGTGGGGCCCCAAAGGCCATGGCAGGTTTGACGGTGCAAGAAAAGACACGCGGCACGTTTTTGCATGTTAATTTAATCATACAAATACTCATTTACACGGTAAGGAAAACCTCATCTTCATCTCCTCCTAGGCACCATGAGGCCCCACCACAAGCACCCACCAGCTTGCTTGCCACACATACCGCTGTCCAGGTACAAAGGGCAGCAGTGCCGCGCCCACACCAACCACGGAACAAAGGGAAGGAGGGCGACACAGTGCCTGAGCCCTGGCAACCCTGCCTCGCTCTCCTGCTGGGGCTCAGACTGAATCTGGGGAGGGGCTCCCTCTCTCGCCCACTTCCCACCTTGCAGCCTCAGGCCACCAGCCTGCTCACCATGCGCCTTGGACAGGCGTCGGGCTACAGCCAGACCTCGCCAGGACAGAGCTGTTTCCTACAGGAAAACGTCCCAAATTCAACTGTCCCACAGCAAAAAGAAAAAAGGCATGCACACGTGCACACACACCCACACCCACACACACACCCCTCACTCCTCCATCTCCCAACCCGGCTTAGGACCTGTTACCTAAAGGTGGTGCCTGCCTCGCCCTCCTGGGTGCCAGACACGGGGTGGGGGTTTCTGCCCAGAGGCGGCCTGCTGCACGCGGGCATTCTTGGGAGCAGGGACTACTGGGGCTGAGAGGAGGCCCCCACCGCCCCACTAGACAGGGGAGGAGAGGGGCACCAGGCCCTGCTCGGACCACACGAGGGCAGGGAGAATGAGCGGTACCAACGCCCTCCTCCAGCCCTGGGGAGGCCACCGGTCCAAGCTTGCACCTGTCTGGCCCTCTGCACAAGCTCACCTCTCCACAGATGTGCCAGGAACGTCCCGGGGAAGGAAGCACAGTACCTGGGACCTGGGACTTGCCGGGTGAGGCTGCCTCTAAGCAAGAACGGGATTCCAGCAGGTCCAGACGGATGGGGCCAATGAAGCCCTCGCTGGGAGCATGGGTCAGGTCACCAGCGTGGGGCAGACAGGGAAAGCAGGGAAGGCGGGTGGGAAGCCACCCAGGGTTCTGCCGGGGCAGCTGGAGATGCAGTGCTTCAAGGCTAGCAAGGAGGAAGAGGGGGCGCGTATGCATTCCAGGTGGCAGTGTCCTGGGAGATTGGCACCAGCAGCAGCAGCAAAATGGGTCTAGGGCTTCGAGACAGAAAGCCACCCGAGACGTGTGGTGCAGCACCCAGAAAGGACTCCCCCGGTTCTGCTAGGGAATGGGGTACTGTGTGCATAGAAAGTAGGTGCTCAGGCGAAGTCCAGTCCAGCCCCAGCCGTAGGCCCCTCTCTGTGGCAGGCTCCACTCCTACGAGGCTTCTGGAGCGAACCAAAGCTTATTCCCCTTTGTTTTTTGGGAAGTGGAGAAGTGAAGGGGGAATCCATACAAGCTTCTCGCCTACAATCAAACATTTAAAAACAACAGTCTCAGAGGAGATGAGGAGGAACACACCACACGTTTTCTGGAACTCAGACACCCACACAGAGACAGACAGGCAGGCAGACCCTCACCCACACCCAGGCTACAGGACCCTCGCAGCCACTCATCCCCTGGACGCCCTGCTTTTCTCACCACCCACCCCTAGCATGGATGGGGGCGTGGTCACAGGCAAGGGACCCTGCGACCGCACCTTAGAGCCACACCCTGGCTCTCCAACCCACTGAGACACTCGGGGAAGAAGGGGCTGAGGAGAAAAGAGGGACTTTGCATATTCTTGTATCTTTGGCAGACAGCTGTTCTAGCCTGGTTCAAACTTCCCACAGAGACATCCACACCTCGACCTGCTTGGAATCCACAGGACAGCAGCGGGCTGCCTGCCTGAGAGCAGTGAGCCCCGGCTCCGATGAGGCTGCCCCTTGCCCACCTCCCCACCTAAGCCCAAGCGTCTGCGGGGGTGGGGTCTCTAAGACCAAGCACTGGCCCTGGCTCTTCCCCACGACAAATTCCTGGTTTGGGGCTGTGGTTCCGCATCTTAACAGCTCCACTCTCAGCCTCCACTTACAGGCTGTGGAAACACCACAAAGGACAACTGCAGGGAAAGGAGGGCAGGGCGTCGTGTGACAACAGAGAAGCACGGACACCTCCCTGGCCCGCTGCACACCGGCGGGTGAGCGCCAGCCACCTCCCTGCGCGGGTACGGGGCACACTCATCCACCCAGCGTGGGAGAACCACTCCGGGGCGGTGGGGAGCCGCGCAGAGAATGGAGAGCACAGTAAGCATGGCGGCCAGAAACATGCAAGGAAAGCGACCTCAACTGCTACAGGCGTGTGCAGAAGGACACCTCTCGTACTCAGAAACTCCCACGTCACCCGAGATCTGTCCTCAAGGCTTCTCTGGCGCCACACGGGGAAGTTTGGTCTTCAGAGAGGTTCCGATGCTAACAAGCCACAGGGTTGACAAATACAAAGTCAAAGGTGTAAATCAACAGAAGATTAAAGGGAAGAGAGGAGGAAGGGCGAACTCCTCGGCTGATGCCATGAGGAACAATCGGGGCCAGTCTTCTGCAGGCGTGTGAGCCGGCGGCGCTCCGGGGCCAATGGCCCCCGGAAGCCCCACATGCCGCGCCGACGGGCCCCTCTACAGAGTGTCCTGCCCTCATTAAAGAAAATCAAAGGGGAAGGTGGGGAAAAATTAACGTGCCCAAACTACAACCTCCGTAGGCAAAATAATTTTTGTTTACAAAGATGGCTTTTTTCCCCCTTCCCGAGTGACCCGATGACCTGTCAGACACTTAAAGGACACCACCCGAGGTGGCTGGGTGACGCTCGGCAGTCGGCACTCACTCATGCACACTGAGTCCACCCCAGCTAGTCTGTTCTGCTGCTTCCTCCTCTTCTGGGATGGGGTCAGAGCAGGGTCCGTGCGCCGTGGTCTGCAATCCAGAGGAACCCCTTGCCCTCCCCCCAAGTCGGGCCTTCTGTCTTTTGTTAATTTTTCTTCTTGCTGACACCCGTTTAAGACTGGCCGAAGGGGTAAGGCCCGTGGAGCCCCTGGAAGAGAGTGGAGACAGTCAGTGAGGCCAACACGGCAGTGCAGCTCGACAACCAATCCAAGAGCAGCCTGTTACTCCCAGGGAGAGAGGGACACCCAGGTCACAGACAAGGCCTACGCATGCCCTTGTCCCACAAAACCTTGGCAGACCGAGGGTCAGGACGTTTCCAAGGTGCTGAACTCGCCAAACCCCTCCCCAGACGGGTGGCCGGAGGGACTGCCCATCCTACTGTCCACTAGCTGGCGCCAGCCTTCCCCACCCCCACGGCCGTGCGTCCCTATGTCCTGCGTTGTGACAGTGCCTCACCCTCCCCACTCAAGAGCCTCCGCTTTTCTGCTGGTTAGGACATAAGGAAAACAGTGCGGCACAAACAGCGACTGTCTACCCCGCACCCCACACCCAGGCACGCTCTGGGATCTGTCCTTTGTCTTTCATTCTCACCTCTGCCCTGCAAGTCGGGAGAGCACTATCATACCCACTCGAGAGATGCCCATTTTCTGCACAACTGACACGTGTTCGAGGTTGGCTAAGAGGCAGAGGCAGGACTGAAAACCAAGCCAGATGAGCCAGAGTCCTTCTTTCGATCTTGCCATGTGCTAAGATTTCTTCCCCATTCCCAAAGGCACTTTGTTTTGTTTTGTTTTTTAGTACTGGGGATCAAAATTGGGACCTTGCGCTTACCAGGCAGGCAGTGGCTCACTAAGCTATATCCCCAGCCCCAACCACTGGCCCCCTGCTTTTTTGAGACAGGGACTCAATGTAGTCCAGGCTGGCCTTGAACTCGTGGTGATCCTCCTGCCTCAGTCTCCCGAGAGCTGATTTCAGGTGTGCGCCACCACGCCTGGCCCAAAGGCACTTAACCTATGCTACTTGGCTGGATGGAAAGGGCTTCACGGTCTTGTCCCTTTAGTAAGGAAGGAAGCACGAGATGTGCTGACACCAACACCTGTTGAATCCATAACTAAAGACAGGTATTTGTCAGACTATGGCCTGGAATACCTCATGCCCCCACCTGGATAACAGGAACAATCGTCCTTCCAAAGCCAGGTCTGTGAGCAGCTGCATAGGCTGGGGACACATCTAAGTGGACCATGCCACCCATCTGGTTGTAGCCTCTAGGCTCCAGGAGAGCCTGCAGGGCCCTGTAGGGGTGTTCGCGGCGGGCACAGGACCCAGCCCCCGTGGCAGCGGGCGTAGACATGGGAGGGGAGGCCAGGTTCTGCTTCCTGCCCAGCACCAGCTCACCAGGTGACCCTGGTCACTCCTCACGCCACCTCAGCTGCCCTCCGTAATTCCTGCCAGATTCAAGTTCTAGGAGCAGAGAGAGAATGCCTGGCTCAGGAGGCTGACAAAAAGTATTCTAAGAAAAGTGCTCCGGCCGAGGCCACAGCTTCCATGAACGGGAAAGAGAGACTGACGTTCCCACAGGTTCTTCAGTGGAGGGCACACACACGGGAAGTTTGTTTCTAGCCTCTAGTTGGTGGAATCGCTGAATAAAACACCCAAGAAGGCAGGTGGACAGGGAAGGCGGGCAGCCAGTGTGAAGGAGCACCAACTATTTGCTGGTGCTGCTGGGCACTTAGCGTGTTCTGAGACAGGTGGGCGGCCTCCTGACCCACCAAGGCCACAGCACCACTAAGTGGAGCAGGTGGTGCCACACGCCTCTCAGCTGCCAACTATCTCAGCAGCCACAACTCTGCTGGCTCGACCAAGTCTGGGCTGGCGTGGCAAAGGGCTCCCAGACTCCACCACGTGGGGCTTGGCAGGGAAGTCACGTACACCGGAGGCGGGCACGAGGCAGCACAGACAGCTGCTCGGACACGTTCATGCGCGCGACAGCAGCTGAGGTCCCTGAAAGACTCAGAGCCAGTCTCTACAGGAAACAAAGGTACGAAGAAAAGGAAAGTTGGAAAGCAAACAGCACTTGTTTCTATGAAAATGTTCACCTTTATTCTTTTCACTGCTTTCTAGTCCGAAGCGCTGCGCTACCCTCCTACAGGCTTATTAAAGCAGGCAGAGGCTTGTGACTCGTCTGCGGTCCTTACAGAAGCGAGTATGTGGCTATGCCAGAGCTGTTGTACTTTCCCATTAACAAATAAGTAAAGTGGCTTCACGCATTTGGCAGAGGGAGGAATAAAGATGTGTATTTTCAGATTTCCACTTGAGTGTCCCAGCCTTTGGATCATTCCATGTGGTGTTTACTAGCTTAGATTATGGTTACCACTGATTCTACTCAATAACTAAGGAGGGCATGTGCTTTTCATGAAGAAAAATGCTAATTCCCTCTTACCCGAAGAGTGGCATGTTGGAGTGGCTGGTGTTTAACTGGTACAAAAAGTAGCATGAGGAACAAGATCAACTCCTGGTGCCCCTCGATCCCAGGGCTGGAGGGAACCCAGGGCCTCACACGTGTGCTCTACCACTGGGCCACATCCCCGGCCCAGGAGAAGATCTGGTTCTCCCTCCCAATTAACTACCATCAGTTCAAAGGAGAGAGAGGGAGCAAACTATTTCAAAACCACTTTAAAATCTAGACGCCTGGTGCTCAGGTTGCAGGTGTCCCATGTGGTATCACAGTCACAGGCAACAAGATGCCAAGCGCAGAGAAAAAAGCTGGTGCAGATTCCAAGAACCACTCTTCAGGCACTCCAGGGCAGGAGGCCAAGTGGGAAGCACCTTTCCTAACAGTGGGCTGGCGGTGTTCAGGATGGAAGAGCCATCCACACTTTAGGTCCTGGTGGTCAACTCCAGCCAAAAAGTAGCTTTTGGCAATAGAAATAATGTTCACCCTCTTCTGGGGCTTAGAGACTCTTCAACTTTCATCTGCAGGGAAGCAGGTGCCAAGTATTAACCAACCTCACATCAGTGACTTATCTTCTGTAACAGTTGTGTCATTACTAATACGGAAAACAGATCAAAAGGTAGGTGCATCCGATGATTCCAGAGAACAGTGTATTCAACTCTGATCCACACGAAAATTAAGGCCAACAGCATGATTACAAAACCTAGAGAATTCAGTGCAGAAAGCTCCTCCTCTGTGAGGAATCTCATCCAATCTCATAGGGATTTGCCAAGACCAATTCATCCCTGCTAATGGTGGGCCTGAATACTCCGGATGAGAAAAGAACTGCTGGCTGGGCACGCTGGTCACCTCTGCAGTCCAAGCTATTCTGGAGGCTGAGGCAGGAGGACTGTGTGAGACCAGGAACTCAAGACAAGCCAAGAGAATAGAGCAAAACCCTACCTCTAAACAAAATAAACTTTTTTTTATCTGACTTCAAGTCTAATGGGCAGATCCCCCGGGTGCAATGGACTTGTACAGAGATGGGTTTTCAAAGGCTACACTGCTCGGAGCAGCGCTGTACCGTTTAGCTTTGCCCCACACAGCTGTGAGCTCAGGTCCTGAGCTCAGATTGGTCAGCGCCCTCAGTGCTGAGGGCTGAACCCAGGGACTCACACAGCCCAGGTAAGTATTTCACCTGAGGCACATCCTCAGCCCTTGACACTTCCATTGAAGGCTACTCACCAGCCTTCACCAGTAGACATCACAGTACTATCAGGAGAGCAGGTTACCCTGTCCCTGCTCATTTATTTGTGTCACAGAGTAGACTGAAACACTTATCAAAAGCTGGATGAAGGGACTGTGAAACAGGCTGCTTTGGTGAGCCAGATGCTTTCCAACCTTCCAGGAAAAGCTGGCTGAAATTCCTGATGACAAGAGGCTGCCTCCCCCAGAGCTTGTGGGTTGCTCTTTCTCTATGTGCATTCGTACTTACCTAGATAAACCACCGCAACACGGACGGAGATGTTCATGCACCTGTCTTTATTTCGCTTTTATTGTGATTTGATTTAAATAAATAAAAAGGTCCACACAGGTTAATAAAAAGATAGGAGTGTTTGCAGCATGCTCTCCTGGTGGACACTGATGACGGCATCAGATAACACCATGCTGCCCTCCTCCTCCTCACTTCCTGGGCCAATCCTGGTCTGTGCTCGCCTGCCCAGTGCTCCTTCTGTGTCACTTATGTTCACTGAATGCAAACACAGAAGAATGCAGGGTTTAGTGCTAAGTCCAGACCCGACTGCACTACAAACTCTGTGGTGTGGAGGCTGCTCACAGGCGTGGCCTGTCTGGAAGGGCCAGAGACTGACCAGGCCCTGATCAAACCTATTAATGTTTCTCACTAATTAGAAATGAAATTAAGGCAAGATCAGGAGTGTACCGGGCCAGGGATTTAGCTCAGTGGTTCTGCGGCCTGCCTTGCAAGAGCAAGGACCCGAGTTCGATCCCTGGTACAAAAAACAAAAAAAACAAAAACAAAAAATCTCAGAACATTCAAACCGGCCCTCCCTGGGGCCTGCTGGCTCCTCAGGGACACCTGCTGAGGCAGAGTGGGGCCACTTCAGCATGAGCAGACTTGCAGATGATTTAAACTGCTGTTCAACCACTTTCATATGACAGCCCCCCAAATTTAAAGATGTGCATGGCGTCGGATGACCAGCCATGGACAAGGAAAAAGCTTTTAGGCATAAAGGTTAATCAGGGGCAGGCTTTAGTTTACAGCCTTCAGACCGCCAAATTATTTAAAAGCTTAACTCAGTTATAAGTGTGCTGAGTATAGTCCCCTCCCCACTTCCTTCTTAATATGTGGTGCTGGGGATTAAACACAGGGCCTTGTACACAGGCAAAGGTTCTATCACTAAGCCACGTGTCCTCCCCGTGACTTTTTTTGTTATTATTATTATTATTATTTTTTGGGTCTTGCTAATAGTTCAGATGGGTATCAAACTCACAGCAATCCTCCTGCCTCAGCCTCCTAAAAGCTTACTTTTCCTTGAACCGCCATGCCAGGCCTCCTGAATATAATCTAAAAAGCCCTGTAACCTTTTCTCACACTTACCTCTGTAACCGTTTTGCTGCTCTTCACTAACCTTTGTAGTTAACCTCTGCGGAACTTCTCTGCCCACTCATCCTTCCACCAATCCATCTGATGCTGTCATCCATCATTCTGTCCTCCCTCCACCACCCACATACCCATCTCCCTCCTCCTTCCCTAGCCTGCATCCTCCCAACGACCCAGCTACTCAAGGTCAAAGTCAACGCTCACAGCCTTAAAAAAAAAAAAAATCACCCTGAAGGACCAAGCTCCAACATAAATAATGAAAACATTATTTCAAGTTCTATAAGGAGATGCAGGATCCTAGCTGAGACTTATTCCCCTCCGTTCAGCAACTTTAGAAAAGGTGCTATGCTGTGTGGACTTCCAGTCCCGAAGATCTAATACCAGCTGTGCTAGGGTCCAGGCGGGATGCTGGCACACAGAGCTCTTGGGGTCATCTCCTAGGGTAAGGAGATGCCTCAAGAGCAGGAAAGAGCTGGCGAGAGCCCCTCTAGGAAGGACACCTGAGGAGAGAAGCTCATCGAAGCGCCTGTAAGTCGCCCCCCACCCTTCCCTTACCAGGGTCATCGCATCTGTCACATTGCTCACAATGGCTGGCTGGCGGAAGAGAGTGTGTGGTCTCTCTTCTCCTAGGTTCCACCTTGCCAGTGAAACTTTCTTTACTTGGCTCTCAAAGGCCTTCCTTTAAAATCCACCCCACCCTTTAAGCATACTTCACTCACCACAGCCAGGCTGCCGGCCAGTATCCCATGAGTTCCATGAAAACGCCCGACCTGGGATTGCTGCTGAGCCGACCTGCACACAGTAATTCGCTCATTCAGCTCAAATTCACCATCCGGCAAGACGCCATGCCCGACTCCTCCAAATCTTAATGCTTTCTCCTTCCCCCAAATACAGATGAGCAGTTACAAGTCCACTGGAACTCAGTGTTCTCTATTTTCAATGGCTGTCATGCCTTCCCAAGGATTAGCGCAGTCTGAGCATCTTGGAGGCCTACTACTGTAGCTACCTCTCTGGAAGCAGTCTTGGTCCGATCGGATATGGGAGACTCAGCCAAGGACAAGTAACTGGAAACCTGAGCATCTATATGTGGAGACAAACTCTCACACTTGTGCATTACACTTAGCTGTTTGGACTTGTAATTTCACTAGTCTTGCTTTGAGAACTTTCCCCAGAAATTAAAATGCTACGATCCATGGTACCAAAACCAAAAACCAAAACCAAAATAGCAAAAAGGGCCAGGGGATTTAGCTCAGTGGTTCTGCTGCCTGCCTCCCAAGCACAAGGTCCTGAGTTTGGACCCTGGTACCAAAACCAAAAAAAGACATTAAAATGCTGAACTCAAGACTATACAGGGCAGCAGGGGGGTGGGGTGGGCAGGGAGTACTTCCGTGCCTCCCTGACAAGCTCAAGTTCCTGAGTTTGATCTTGAGTGACAAGAAAAGAAAAAAAAAAAGTACACAGGAATGAGTCCTTACAATCAAAATGAAGTATGCTGCCAATCCCATCAGCAATAAGAATGCCCAGCACCACAGACATCTAAAGCAATGTTCAGAACCCCAAAGCAAATAAAATAAAGGGACAGCTTTGAAGCTGTTCATATAGAAAAGGGAGAGTTCCTGGACACACTTTTAATTCTAGTCAGATAGCAATGATACAAACAACAAAAGACATTTTCTAAGGCCCACAGTGCTTGCTCAATTTATTTTTAAAATGCACACATGACCCATGCCCATGCAAACACCAACAAAGCTGGGAGGACTTTACCGGCTCCTGTGGGTTTTCAAAAAAGAGTCGTTGCAGTGTAATATGGAGCCTCCGGGCGAGCTCCCTCTGGTGCAGAATGTGCTAAACTGCCAGAGATCTGACGAAGGTCCCTGAGTGGCTCAGCACCGCTTCCTCCTTGGACAGAAATCCTCTACAGCCCTTGCAGACGAAGAAAGGTCTCTACAACCTGACAGTAAGTGTATAAAATACCTTGGGGCACAGCCACCAGCAAACCTCATCATGGCGCCATCTAGAACATGAGACTCCTCATGGGTCCCTGGGCTCCAGCCCACGGCCCACCCTCGATGTGCTGTGGGAATGTGAGCATCGCTGTAAGCGTCTAATGAGAATAAATGCGGTAGGCCAGGGCGCAGATGAGGGTTCGAGTACATGCACAGCGCGCATGAGGCCGTGGGTTCAATCCCCAGCACCAAAAAGCAAAGGAAAAATGGGCTCAGCAAAAATGTTTTGACCAGTCTGAGGTGGTTTCCTGTTAGGTTAGTCCTGAGACTTCTCTATCCACTCCACCCCAGGGATACCTGGCAATGTCTGGAGACATGTTAGATCACGGGTGGTGGTGGTACTGCTGGCATCTAATCTAATGGGCAAAGGCCAAGGGTCTCCTAAACATCATATAATGCATCACACACACACATGCCCCATGCAGTCAGCTAAGAGATCCTGCTCTACACATCCCATTTAGGGATCCGTAGCGTTAGACACCGTCTATGCGGATATGACCACGACTGTATCTCCACCTCTGCCCAGACTTCGCTCCTAAACCTTGTCCTGCCTGAATGTGCAAAAGCCCTGATTGCTCTCCGCTCCTGTCACAGCCTTTCTCTTCCCACTGATGGCAACTCCACTCTTCGAACTGCTCAGGCCAAAAGGCCCGGTGTCATCCTTCTCCCTCTCACAGCCCCTACCCTCTTGCTCAAGCTACAAAATGGCTCCAGATGTGGATCACTTGCACTACCACCACCGGCCTAGCCCAAGTCCCGTGCACTCTTTGCCCGGATGGACGACTGCAGTAACTGCCCGGCCCCTGGCCACACTGCAGCCCAGAGACCTTTCACAGCATCGGGTCCGACCACAGTACTCCTCCACTCAACATCCGTGACCTGGTTTCTGCCCTTTGCCTTCATCTTTTACTCCCTCTCTTGCTCTGCTCATCCTTATATTCCTTGAACACACTGCACTGGACCAATTTCCACCTCAGGGCTTAAACAGTGTGTCCCACCTCTGCTTAATGTGTTTATTCTCCAAACAGCCTTTGCAGAAAGAACACCCAATTGTTAAAGGGAAAGTCAGCCAAGCCTCTGAGCGTGTCCTGACCCTGAATACTCAGTTATGTTCAAGGGAAAAAGGGGAATTCACTCTAGAAGGAAAACACCAGAGACTGTATCTTTTGGTCACACGGAGTATAGACAAGTGCTTTGTGACTTCAAAGAGCTACAAGTATTGCTGCTGCACGAATAAGTTAATGAAAACTTCAACACCAACAAAATTTACACCCAAGTGACTATGAAAGTTCCCAGGGAACCTTTTCCCTTCCTGCAAGGGAGAGATGGTGAGGAGATCGGGCCCACTTGTGGGGCCGCCACATACTACCTCGGTCAGTAACTGCCTTGACCTCACCAGAGATGTGCGATCCTGTACAGAATGCCCATTATGAGCTCGGCTGATGTGTGCTTTCACACTGCAACTGGGAAGCAAAGGAGCGAGGTTCAGAGACAGAGCAGGCTCAGGAGCCAAGAGAGCTGCTTTCCAGCTCTGTGCCTGTGGGCTCAGGCGCAGGATCCCAAGGGAAGGGTAGCAACAGCTCTACATCGTGGTGCTGCTGGGGTCACAGAAAGGAGCAACTCATGTCAAGATCCGAGCCTGCCGCCTCTGGGGAACAAACACTGTGGACTGTCCTAAGTTCTGTAAGACTGCTCAGCGCCTTAATCATATATGGCCATAATTTTAACAACTGAAAAGTATTCAGCATAGGGGCCTGGTAGGCACAAAGTGCGCAGTAAATGGCAGTTTCACATCTTGGGCCATTGCACTTAATTTTTTTTGGTACTGGGGTCGAACTTGGTACCTTGCCCTTGTGAGGCAGACAGCGGTACCACTGAGCTAAACCCCTGGCCCTGGCCATTGCACTTTTGCTGGCAAGAAATAGTATTTTTCCTTTTTTTGGTACCGGGGATTGAACTCTGGACCTTGCACTTGAAAAGCAGGCGGTGGAACCACTGAGCTAAATCCCCGGCTAGAAACAGTATTTTTTGCTACCTGTTCCTTGCTGAAGGTGAACACAGGCTAGATAAAATATCAACTGACATAACATTTCCATCTTCTCACAGGACCACCTTTAAACCTGTCAGGAAAGGATCTACCTGTGAGAACGCAGACTCTGAGGTTTCACGGCAGAGGAAAGACTACAATGATGCCTGCTAGCATCTCACACAACCATAAGCCCAGCTAAGGAAACAACCACCTGCCTTCTAGTAACTCAGTGCCCTAGGAACTAGGCAAATGTTAGACCTAATTCAACCAAGTCACCCCAGGAACCAGCTTAAACTTACTGGCTACTTCAGCCACAAGCTTTCCTATCTTCAGGCCCAGAAAGTGAAAGATCTGCCTTTTCCAACCTCTTCCGCTACCCCTAGAACTATGTGTAATCTCATGCCCGGATGGAGAGAAAATAACTTATGCATGCCCAAGTCGACAGGCAGCATCGGTAAACGGTGACGCCTGACATGCCAGAGGCAGACGACTCCTGCTGTCGCTCCACTGCGCTGGGGAGGAGCACACGGGTGAGGGCGGGCAGGGCAGATGGCGCTCAGCAGTGGCTGAGGCGGAGGAGCTGGAGCAGGGGGACACCTTCCCTCCCTGCATAGATATTAACATATTTCTCCTTCTGAACCAGTGCTTGGCAGAAGTAATAACAGTGGCTCAGATTGTAATCCAGTTTTTCTGTTTTGTTTTGTTTTTGGTACCCGGGATTGAACTTGGGTCTTTGCGACTGCGAGGCAGGCAGCAGAACCACTAAGTTGAATCCCTGGCCCAATTGTAATCCAGCTTAAACTAGAAGTATATGGTATATATCAGCCCCAAACATTTTTTTTTTTTTTTTTTTGT